CATTAATCAAAGATGGTTATGTTTCCTAACCATAGACATGTGTTGTCATTTGATTAATGGCATCACATCATTAGGAGAATGATGTGATTGACATGACCCATTCCGTTAGCCTAGCATTTGATCGTTTAATATATTGCTATTGCTTTCTTCATGACTTATACATGTTCCTGTAACTATGAGATTATGCAACTCCCGTTTACCGGAGGAACACTTTGGGTGCTAACAAACGTCACAACGTAACTGGGTGATTATAAAGGAGTACTACAGGTGTCTCCGAAGGTACATGTTGGGTTGGCGTATTTCGAGATTAGGTTTTGTCACTCCGATTGTCGGAGAGGTATCTCTGGGCCCTCTCGGTAATGCACATCACTATAAAGCCTTGCAAGCAATGTAGCTAATGAGTTAGTTACGGAATGATGCATTACGTAACGAGTAAAGAGACTTGCCGGTAACGAGATTGAACTAGGTATTGGATACCGACGATCAAATCTCGGGCAAGTAACATACCGATGACAAAGGGAACAAAGTATGTTGTTATGCGGTTTGACCGATAAAGATCTTCGTAGAATATGTAGGAGCCAATATGAGCATCCAGGTTCCGCTATTGGTTATTGACCGAGAATAGTTCTAGGTCATGTCTACATAGTTCTCGAACCCGTAGGGTCCGCACGCTTAAGGTTTCGATGACAATTATATTATGAGTTTATGAGTTTTTGGTGTACCGAAGGAGTTCGGAGTCCCAAATGAGATCGGGGACATGACGAGGAGTCTTGAAATGGTCGAGACGTAAAGATCAATATATTGGACGACTATATTCGGAGTTCAGAAAGGTTCCGAGTGATTCGGGTATTTTTCGGAGTACCGGAGAGTTACGGGAATTCGCCGGGGAGTATATGGGCCTTATTGGGCTTTAGGGGAAAGAGAGAGGAGAGGTTGGGCGCCCCCCAAGGCCTAGTCCGAATTGGACTAGGGGGAGGGGCTGCGCCCCCTCCTTCCTTCTCTTCTCTTCCCCCTTTCCTTGACTCCTACTCCTACTACTTGGAAGGGGGGAATCCTACTCCCGATGGGAGTAGGACTCCTCCTTGGCGGGCCCTCCTTGGCCGGCCGCACCTCCCCCCTCCCTCCTTTATATACGGGGCAGGGGGGTACCCCATAACACACAAGTTGATCTACGGATTGTTCCTTAGCCGTGTGCGGTGCCCCCCTCCACCATATTCCACCTCGGTCATATCGTCGCGGAGTTTAGGTGAAGCCCTGCGCCGGTAGAACATCATCATCGTCACCACGCCGTCGTGCTGATGGAACTCATCCCTGACGCTTTGCTGGATCGGAGCCCGGGGATCGTCATCGAGCTGAACGTGTGCTGAACTCGGAGGTGCCGTATGTTCGGTACTTGGATCGGTCGGATCGTGAAGACATACGACTACATCAACCGCGTTGTCATAACGCTTCCGCTTACGGTCTACGAGGGTACGTGGACAATACTCTCCCCTCTCGTTGCTATGCCATCACCATGATCTTGCGTGTGCGTAGAATTTTTTTTTGAAATTACTACGTTCCCCAACATATATACTTGACATGAAGAAAGCAGTAGCAATAAAACTGAACGATCATTATGCTAAGCTAACGGATGGGTCTTGTCCATCAGATCATTCCACTAATGATGTGATCCCGTTATCAAATGACAACTCATGTCAATGGCTAGGAAACTTAACCATTTTTTATCAACGAGCTAGTCTAGTAGAGCATACTAGGGACACGTTGTTTTGTCTATGCATTCACACATGTATCAAGTTTCCGGTTAATACAATTCTAGCATGAATAATAAACATTTATCATGAATAAGAAAATATAAAATTATAACTTTATTATTGCCTTTAGGACATATTTCCGTCAAAGCTAACCGCGTCCGTTGCCCTCAGGCGCCGGCCAAGATGTCGGAGCCAGAGGTGAGCATCTGTGGCTGTAGCCACGCGTGTCCACACCTCCCAGGCGAAGGACAGTGACCGAAGATATGCAGTGGCATTTCGAGGTTACGGTTGCAAAGCGCGTAGTAGTTCTTGGGGATGCCGTGGCACTGCAGTCTATCGGACGTGGAGAACCTGCTTTGAAGGAGCAACCATAGAAAGAATCGGCATCTTGGTGTGGCCTTGGTTGTCCATGCAAATTGAAGGGCTAAGAGCATCGCTAGCCGCGCCTTCAGAACGGCCTTCCTAGGCGATTTTTTCGCGCCGGCGCCGAAAAAATGGCCCAGTCACGCCTCCAGAAGCCTGATTTTCGCTGGCCTGGGCCGAAATCAGCGCCGGCGGACCCAGGCCGAACCCGGCGCGCTAGGGGCGCCCGGGGGCGCCGGGGCGAGTGGTTTTTGCGCGAAGCAGCCGCGGGCCCGCTGAGTCAGCGAGACGGGCATTCCGTCGCCCTCATCGCCTCGGTTCCCGCGGGAATCAATGCCAAGACTTCCGCGCTGCCGCCGCCGGTCAGCCTTGCCATTGGTTCCTCATGGGCGGCGCGTCACGGGGCGGCGCGGCGACGCCTCCCCTCCCGCCACGCGTACACACGGGGCGCGGCTATTTAAGCTGGTGACCTCCCTCGCCTCTGGCCATACCAACCCTCGCCGCCGAGTTCTCCCTCTCCCGTGCGCCGCCGCCGAGCCCTCCCTCTCCCATGCGCCACCGCCGAGCCCTCCCTCTCCCTCTCCCGCGCGCCCGATGGCTGCACGCTGCAGCGGCCAATGGCTTCGGCCGTCGCTCGCTCCGCGAACTGGAGTCGTGGCTCCTGTTCGAGGCCAACATCCCGGCGCCGCCGGACATGCGCGCCGGGCCGACGGGATGGAGGCTCAGCAACAAGGGAGTGCCCGTTCCCTCATTGCCCGACGCCGTGGCGCACCCGGCCTACTTCGCCGCCGAGGTCGAGCTCGTGCGCGCCTCCCTCACCGACGAGCAGCTCGCCCTCCCCCAGTACACCGCCGACAACCACGTAGCGTGGGCGGCGTACTTTGAACGCCGTCAGGAGCAGCGACTGGCGTCTACCAACGGGGCGCCGGTGGTGGGCGGCACGAAGAACAGCGACGGGCGCCGCTGGGTGGGGCGTCCCCGGCCGTATGCTCGAGGGCATGCTGGCGCACCTTGAGGGCGACAACGACCCGCCGCTGGCATACCCTCCCCCGGCCGCCCCGGCCCACCGCCGACGCGCCGGGCAATGGATGCCCAGGAGGTTCGTCACTTCCTCGTCTTCCTCCTACAACTCCTCGTCGCAATCTTCTTCCCACTCCTCCGGCTCTCCGGCGCTGCTCGGCATCATGGCCGAACCTGCGGCGGAGACGCCGCTTGGCCCGCGCACTCGCAGCGTCGGCATCGTCATCAACGAGGGCGGCCGACACGCCTCCTCGTCGGCTCCTCCGCGCTTCGTCAAGCCAAAGACGGAGCCGGGGCTCGCGCCGGTGAAAACGGAGCCGGGGCTCCCCGCCGTGAAGACAGAGCCCGGCGACGTGGAGCTCGACAACGACACGACCCTAAAAGGGGGGCGCAAGGACTTCGAGAGGATGGAGTGGGAGCGCCAGATCGCCGCCCTGCGCCGCTTCGAGCAGCGCCGCCGGGGCCGCGACGGAGTCGTCGTCGTCCTCGACGACAGCGACGATGCCGACGCGCCACCGCCGCCGCCATCAGTCCGCCATGGCGACGCCGGGCAGGGGTCCAGCAGGGAAGGCCGCGTCAAGGAGGAGAAGGCCGACGACGACGGCGGCGAGGATGGCGGCGACGACGGCGACTACTCCGCTTTCAGTGATTTCTTTTTTTAGTTATATTAGCTATGTAACGCGTTCGCGAATAATATATGCCAAAGTTTGCCGAAATTTAGCCGTGTTTAACCGAACTTCGCCGAACTTGTTTTTTTTTAAAAAAAATCTGACGCGCCTGGGGGCGGCCCAAGGGCCGGCGACTGGGGGCCAACTCGCCCCAAGGATGTTTTTTTGCACCGGCGCGCCCCTAGGCGACGATTTTAGGCGCCTCGTGGGGGGTCAACGGCTGAAGATGCTCTAAGACGGCACAATTCTGGAACTGGCGCTGGTAGCATCAGCACATGGGTATGTAGCCGAGCTCGATCGCCACCCTGAACACGTCACGCGATCCAGGGAAAAGAGTCGTGCCTAGAACGCGGTAGCACAAGTCGACGAACTCCGGCAGAAGCGGCGCAGTCACCCTCCCATATATAGACCGCGGAGCCAGTTACCCTCATGCGGTGCGTCTTGGAGACTTTTGTTCTTGCGCCGGGACAAGGCATGGAGGGCCGGCCATAGCTGGCATCGGGGGGATCCCAGGGGCCATGCCAGAAGGAGAACACGGCCCCGTCTCCCACCGTGGTCGTCGTTGCATTGGCGAAGAAGGTGCCATCGGCGTTGGAGCACGGCAAGTCCATTCCCAGCCAAGGGAGCCGTGGCACGGTTTTGGCAAGCCAAAGCCAGTGCATGCGGAGGGCCATGCTGAATTTGCGAAGATTGATGTTCCCGAGCCCTCCCAACGTGATGGGTCGGCAGATCAGGCGCCAGAGGACGATTAGGATGAAACGATGATTATGAGGTGGGGAAGAAATGCGATTGAGATCATTTTGTATGGATGGAAATCACATGTCATCACTACTTGCAAGGAAGGATGGTTAAGACTTAAGAAGAAATGACGGTTGTCCTATAGGAACGCAATAGGAGAGAGAATTAGCTTGTCACTGTATAAATGGAAACCACGTGACATTACTTCTTGCAAGGAGAAGATGGTTAACAAGAAACGATTATTACCAAGGAGGAAGAAGCAAGAGAGAATATTTTTTAGTCGTTGTGATTTTCATTCACCGTGGCAACACACGTGCATTAAGCTAGTAATACTACAAGGTCCCAGTTGCAGAATGCACCAGGCCACCTCTTAGATGGATCCTGTCCCTCCCATCTCAATCTGACGGCTCATGTGCAACTGGTGCATCTGATGCATTGGCTTGCTGAACTGGATACGTCCTCAAGTAAAACCATCGACACGGCGTATGAGGAGGCGCAGCCCGAACTCCGGCTCGATGATGAGCCGGAACGCCGGGGAGTGCCTGTAGTCCGGTGAGAGAGCAAAGGCAAACCGCGCGAGGATGACGGCGAGGAGCGTCTTGGCCTCAACGATCGCGAGGTTCTGGCCTAGGCAGGTACGCGCTCCGAGGCCGAACGGCATGAACGCCGCCTGCGGGTGCTTGCACGCCACCGCCACCCCGTTCTGGAACCGGTTGGGGTTGAACCGGCGCACTGTCGGGCCCCAGGCGGCGGGGTCGTGGTGCATGGTAGAGACCGGCACGAAGAAGTAGGTACCCTTGGGAGCGAGCAGCTGGCCCAGCCGAACATCACGGAGCGTCTCCCGCACCACGAACGACGACGGCGGGAACAGCCGCAGCGTCTCCAGCACCACCATGCTCACCGTCTTCATCCGAGATACCATGTCGAAGTCTGGTGCCGCGGCGCCGGCGGCGCCACCGCAGACATCGAGCACCTCGGCGCGCGCCCGATCCTGCCACTCAGGGTGGGCGGCGAGCAGCATGAGGCACCAGGTGGCGGTGACCGCAGTCGTCTCCTGGCCTGCGAAGTAGATGTTCTTGCAGTTGTCAACCACGAAGTCGTCCGGCCGCGGCTGGTCGCCGCTGTTGTCGATGATGGACCGCAGGAAGTCAGGGCCCGGAGAAATCCCCGTCGCCGCCCGGCGCCCTCTCGCGATCTCCAGAATCAAAGACCGGATCTCCTGCGTGAGCCTCCAGATCCTCCGGTTCTTCTCCGTCGGCAGAAACCTCAGCGACGGGACGGTGAACATGACGCTGGGATCGGACATGAGCCCGGACAGCGCCCTGAGCCGGAGGAAGATCTCCTTCCCCGTGGAGTGGTCGTTCCCGAAGCAGGCCCGGGAGATGACGTCGAAGGAGAAGCTGCGGATGTCGGCGTCGACGTCTACTGCCGCGATGCCGCCCTTGGCGCCGTCGACGGCGGCTTCCCACGAGCGCAGAAGCGGCTGCGCCGCACTGACCATGAGCCCCACCATGCCCCTGACTTTGGCCATGTAGAACTCGGGCGCGATGACCTTGCGCTGGCGCGCCCAGCAGGCGCCGTTGGCCTTGAGGACGCCGGCGCCGAATAAGGGCTCCTGCCCCTTCTGCTGGAACGTCGGCTTGCCCATGTCTAACGAGTCGCACCGTCCGATTGCCCGGATCAGCTCCGGGTCCGTCACGTACAGCGCCGGCCGCTGCCCGAGCCAGTACAGATACGTGTCACCTGCACGACACACGGCAGGAGGAAAACCGTCAGTTTATTTGTTTTCTCTCTAACACAGAAAAAATAAATGGTCTGAATTCTGAAGTGCTCTTGGGCCTATTTTGTATGCAACTTATCAACTTCTAGCTAGCTGAATTTTTAAACTCTGCAGCAGCAAGCCAACTTGCTAGAGCAAGCATGCGTCTGTAGCAGTGCGGCCAGTTTCATGCATCCATAACTTCGACGACGGATAGAGGCACTTTACCCACGCATGCTCGACTTGTACACGGACAGAACCAGGATTGAAAACTATAGTACGATCGAGCAAGCGTGTGTGCCAACGCAAATCAGAACGACTAGCTAGCTAGTTCAACTGTCGTGAAACAGGCGCGATTAGTTCAAAGTAGAGGAAGAGGTGGACGGGCATAGTATGCAGACCGTAGGCTTTCCTGCACTTGTGGAAGAAGGGGAAGATCATCTTGCAGTAGTCGTCGAAGCCGTCCTTGTGGAGGTCCCACTGGCCAGCGCCGCCGTCCTCCGCCGCAACGGCCTGCGGCGCCCTCGCCTGCACCTCCGAGAGATTACCCCTCAGGAACGACGACGGCGGAGGGCCGTCGATCCCCTGCTGACGGAAGACCTCCCTGACGCGGCGCCGCCACGCGGCCACGCAGAGGCAGACCACCGCCGCCGCTGACCCCACGGCCACCAGATATAACGATAAACTCTCCATGGTCACTATGCTCATCCTCTCTGTCTCTCTCTCCCTTTGTTTCTCTAGCCGACTGTCTCCCACACACGCACACAGTAGTAGTAGACTAGTAGTAAGTACCAGAACAAGAGATGGCTTCTAAACCTCGCTGTGCCAGGACAGAAAGACAGACTCCAGTATGCTCTACGGGGGTCACGAATGGGATTGTGTTAAGTACCCAGTACTATATGGACTCCATTAACAAGGGATTCGGAGATCACAGCTCGATTACAGGGGGAAGCTCAGAGGTAGGTGGAGTACCTTGCTGATTTATAGTGACTGATCCTTCTACCTTCTGGGCTGGGCCGAGCCGAGCCGGATAAGGGCGGCCCGTAGTAAAGTCTTTGACAGATTGCGCGGCAGGCCGTGACTAGTGTTGGGTTTAGTCCCACATCGGTTGTGGGGGAAGACATAACACGACTTATAAGGGCGGGGTGTCCCCTCCTAACAGCCTAGTCTTTTGGGGGGAGAGGGCCCAAGGCCTCTCATAAGTCAGTGTTGTTCTCCGGTTGGGCCTGGTGACACATGTGAGTCGGAAACGCTGGTGTAGCGGACCCGAGATTGCGTAACAACTAGACTATTAACTCCCGTAGATAAATAATTATTAGGTTGTCTCAAAAAAGAAGATAAATAAATTAGGAATCGAGATGATATCATTTTTGTGCTTGAAGATATAGTTAATTGGGGTGATGGAATTTTCGATGACCCCGGCTTCTGCATCCGGGCGATGCATGCAACCATTTTATTAATTATTCGCAAAGACCTTACAAAGTGATACATTAGTATGTCTAAAGCCACCATCTTGACAACATTTGTCGCTACTCCTATTCGTTTGATGAAGGAGTGTCGATAATCTAAGCCGAATACCAAACAGACCTCGCACTGGCACACAACTAGTCAGTAGCTTATTTGGGCGAACTGTGCTCCTTTACAGGGATCTCTCACGTATCTCTTTCCTCCTCTACAAAAAAAGCTCTTCTCCTCCCATCGGCGCCGCCGCCGGTCCGTCCCATCTCCGATGGCCTCTAGGGCATGGAGGTGCGAAGGATCTCGGCCCCCTGCCAGCGGGAGGGACCCCGTTCTCGTTTTTTGTTAGATTCAGCGTCTTGGTTGGAGTTGTGTGGCGGCGGCGATGTGCCTAAGTAGGAATAATGTCTCCCACGTTCTATCCCCTTCCCAATGATGCGGATGTTTGTCTCCGTTGGATCTTGCGGGATTCGGTCGGTGTTGGTTTTCGGTGGATCTGTTTGGATCCGATCTTAGTTCGTCTTCGTTTGGGTGTTTACAGGTTTGATCCTTCTGATTTATGACTTTCTTCATGGTTGAAGGTTGCTACTCTGGTGCGCTGGTCCTATGGGGCCTTAGCACGACGACTTTCCGACTGTCTACACAACAAGGTTTGCCCGGCTCCGGTGAAGGAGGGCCGATTACGGCGGCGCGCCTTCGACTCGCTCCAGTGCTTGTAGTCGTCGCTAGGTGGTCTATGGACATGGTTGTAATTTTTATTACCTCTATTGTTCTTTGTACTGTCATGATTGAAGATGAATAGTGTGAAAGTTTATCCGGAAAAATTAGCTTATTTGAGCTATAAACATGTTAATTATTATTATTTTTTTGCGGGAATTAATTATTAATTTACTAGCGTGTCTATGTTTCAAAGGACGATGGCTACATTTCATAATTCAGGCCGTATGGATCAATGATCAGCTAGCTAGCTAGCGATCCATCGAGCCGGCCGGTGTTCCATTTTTGTGAATCAACATCAGGAAAGCATCTTAGCTGTTAGCACCCGTGTAGAGTACGTTGCTAACTTGTTTTGCTCTTGGCTGCCTGGAGTGGTACACTTGCTAGGTCGATGGCTCGATGCCTGCCTATACATAGATCGAGTGTTATTTTTGCCAGCTCGTGAAGGTACCTCACACCGTTTTAGAAATATATTCCCTCCGTCCGAAAATACTTGTCATCGAAATGGACAAAAAAAGATGTATCAAAAACTAAAATACGTCTAGATACATCCTTTTTTATCCATTTTGATGACAAGTATTTCTGGACGGAGGGAGTATGAAGATTCTAGCAACAGATCGGTGACCCATATCTCAAAAAATGCTCACCACTCACATCTCAAAAAGAAAAGAAAAACCTCGCCAATAAAAATAGTTGGGCATGATAGGTACCGCCTCCCTAGAAAATGCGATGACTAGTTGCACACATATTGATGTTTCGTTGGCAGGATTAGTTACACATATATACTCAGTTGGCGCGGCAATGTAGTCTAGTTGCACACACATGAATGTTTAGTTGGCAGAACTAGTTACACACATATGCTCAGTTGGCGCGGCAATGTAGTCTAGTTGCACACACATTGATGTTAATTACACACACATATACTCAGTTGGAGCGGCAATGTAGTCTAGTTGCACACACATTAATGTTTAGTTGACAGGAAGACTAGTCGTCGAAACATCTCCATATGGGGTCTATTTTTGAAGAGCACGTTGCGAGGATTTCAATTGTGAAAACGGATCTGAATTTCGACACGCGGTTTAAAAAATATGTCTTTTGTAATTTTAGAAACCAAAAATTAATGCACAAGGACGAACATAAGGAACATTAATGCACATAGGATGATTAATCGGATTTGCTAAAACTCATTCGAATGCTTTTTTCTTTGGTCTCGTTCACTTTTGTGGCCGTCGGATGGAAACACTCTGTGATTCGTGTGTCCAGGTGGAGAGCTTCGCCCGACGGGGAGGCGCAGCCCATATGTTGTCCCGCTGGCGGCCCATCTGTTGTTTCTTGTTGTATGGGCTCCATCCCCCTCGCACTTGCCGTCAGGCCCGGTCTAGGATATACGAGTAGACTGCTTTTCTCTTTCTCGTTGGCGGCTGCAGTACAAAGAGCGCGGCGGGTTTATCTTTGTCTGTACAGGCGGAAATTTTGTTCCATTTTTCTTTTGTTTAGGAGTTTTTTTGTTTGTAGTTGCAACCGCCCCAACCCGAGCGCAATCGCAACTCAGCACACCCAAGCGCATTTGCAAGACATATGACGTGACCACAACCGGGGGTCGGGGCGGAGGGCTGTCGACACTGCTGAAATCGGTTCCATTTTCTTTTCTTTTTTTGTTATTTTTTTGTTGTAGTTGCAACCGCCCCAACCCAAGCGTAATTAGAACTCAGCATGTTCAAGAGGGTTGTCTCGGTGCTGATGGGAATCGATTCCTTTTCTGTTATTGTTTTTT